GTAGACCTCTCTCAGATTTGTTCATTTTTAAAATGATATCTTTAATTCTCTAATTTTGGTGAATATTTTTGTAATTTTTGGTAAAAAGTGATATTTTCAACTTCTTGTTAAAAACCGCAAGTCCAATTGCTTTGATATTACATATATAGGTACTAAATGTGGACCTCTCTCAGATTTGTTCATTTTTAATGATATCTTTAATTCTCTAATTTTGGTGAATATTTTTGTAATTTTTGGTAATAAAGTGATATTTTTGACTTCTTGTTAAAAATCGCAAGTCAAATTGCTTTGATATTACATATATAGGTACTATATGTGGTCCTCTCTCAGATTTGTTCATTTTGTGATGATATCTTTTATTCTCTAATTATAGTGAATATTTTTTTAATTTTTGGTAAAAAGTGATATTTTTGACTTCTTGTTGAAAACTCAAGTCAAATTGCTTTGATATTACATATATAGGTACTACATGTGGACCTCTCTCAGATTTGTTCATTTCGTGATGATATCTTTAATACTCTAATTTTGGTGAATATTTTTGTTAATTTTTGGTAAAAAGTGATATTTTTGACTTCTCGTTAAAAACCCAAGTCAAATTGCTTTGATATTACATATATAGGTACTACATGTGGACCTCTCTCAGACTTGTTCATTTTGTAATGATATCTTCAATTCTCTAATTTTGATGAATATTTCTGTCATTTTTGGTAAAAAGTGATATTTTCGACTTCTTGTTAAAAACCACAAGTCCAATTGCTTTGATATTACATATATAGGTACTACATGTGGACCTCTTTCAGATTTGTTAATTTCATGGTGATATCTTCAATTATCTAATTTTGATGATTATTTTTGTCATTTTTGGTGAAAAGTGATATTTTTGAATTCTTGTTGATAACAGCAAGTCCCATTGCTTTGATACTATACATATTGTTCATTTTCTAATGATATCTTCTGTTCTTTTATTGAAATGTGCATTGCTAACAGCGGAGCTATCTCAGCCGACTGGCTGCTTGTTTTGTTTCATAGACCCAAATCAGTGTACTCCTGTGAATTAAAAGCAATCAGCAACTTGTATCTTTGGGGTGGAGCTACGTCACAAGACGTTCCACGTTGCTAAGACGCACACCACTGTACCATGCATTTCTATAGGTTCTGTGCGCGCTGCTGTGGAACACTTGTCGTGCCAGTGAAAATTCGAGAAAACAACACAAACTCAACTTTGAAGTAATCCTGAACAGCCAAATTTATATATGTTACACATGCAGGGGTGATCTTGTTACACTGTTCAGGAGAGTCTCAACAACCATCCTAAAGTACCGTTTTCACCATGGTGGTTGGCAGGCGGTGAAAATGCCCGGATGTCCGCCCCCGAGAATTACAGGTCATGTTCTAATAAGGCATGCTGTAATTGATTGACAAATCTCAACAGAGAGGAGATGACTGAAAATGATTTGGATGGTCAGATGTAGTCAGAAGAGATATACATTGACGACTCAAATCAAACGAAAAGAGCATCTCCTTAAATTGGGTCGCTGAAATTTTTTGAAATATCAATTGTTTATATTTTTCAGAGAAGCTCAAGGAATCTTAGGCATGTTGTAATCCTATCCCGCCTCTAGTTCGGCAGCATGTCAACGAAATTCATCAGTTCGTTCGCCAAGCGCGAGAACAACCGATAGAAAAGGTGGGTACATTTCACAGACATTCTTGACTACCAGTATTTAAAAATGTTTATTGAAGTCTCCTTATTAGTTACATTATTGTGTAATGCTAAAGTTAGACTTCTTGTTACATATATGTTTCTAGGATACAACAATTGTAGTATTAATGCAACAAAGTATGTTTTAAAAACATACACATATTAATATTAACATTGGCACATTAAAATAATGACATGCGTTTGAACACATTCATGAACACGAAATAAACATATGTATGTCATTGTCGTATGTATGTTACCAATTCTATAATACATTTCTAGTTTCAAAAACAGTTAGTTTTTCTAAACATAGGCGCTTGTCAATTTAAAATTACATATATTCTTTAAAGTCATGGTACGGTTTCAAAGATGAATGCATTTTATTAGCTCCCCCGCCATTGTAGATGTTAGATTGTCTGCCGTAGCCCGTCCATCAACAATTCCATTTTCATCTTTTTCTTGTGAAATACCATCTCAATTGATTTGATACCTTGTATGTAGGTACTTTGGGTGTACCTTTATCAGATTTGTTAGCTCCGCTGTCGACGAAGTCGAGCGGAGCTTATATTATTACTGATTGTCCGTCAGCGTCCGCCGTCGTCAACTTTACATTTCCAACATCTTCTTAAAAACCACAAACTGTATAGCTGTGAAACTTTCTAGGAAGGTACCTTGGGTGCTTCTCTCTCAGATTTGTTCATTTCGTGTGGATATGTTCTATTGTCTTATTTATAGCGAATATTTTTGTCATTTTTGGTCAAAAATGCTATTTTTGACTTCTTCTTGAAAACCATTAGCCCGAATGCTTTGATACTTGGTATGTAGGTACTTTGGGTGGACCTCTCTCAGATTTGTTCATTTTGTGATGATGTCTTTAATTCTCTAATTTTGATGAATATTTTTGTCATTTTTGGTAAAAATTGATATTTTCGACTTCTTGTTAAAAGCCGCAATTCCTATTGCTTAGATATTACATATGTAAGTACTACATGTGGACCTCTCTCAGATTTGTTCATTTCGTGATGATATCTTTAATTCTCTTATTTTCATGAATATTTTTGTCATTTTTGGTAAAAAGTAATATTTCCGTGTTCTTGTTATAAACCGCAAGTGTGATTGCTTTGATATTATATATATAGGTACTTCAGGTAGACCTCTCTCAGATTTCTTCATTTCATGATGATTTTGTTCTTCAATTATCTAATTTTAATGAATATTTTTGATAAAAAGTCTGATTGCTTTAATACTATACATATTGTTCATTTTTAAAACTAATACGTGATGTTTCTCCACATATTTTAAAAGAATCGTATAAATTTCAACTTAATATGGCAGGAGCAGGTGCTATTTGCTGGGCTTTGACAGTTAAAAATCTTCTCTATAAATATGGTTTTGGACATATTTGGATTGACCAATATGTAAATAACTCTATTGCATTCCTGGAACTATTTAAACAGAGGTGCTTTGATATTTCCAGACAAGATTGGAGCTCTGAAATTAATAGAAGTCTCAAACTAGTAACTTATTGTAAGGTGAAACATGAATTAACATGTGAGAAATATCTTACAAATATTGGTCAGTCTTATGCAATAT